AAAGAACTTTGGATAAAATCATAGATAGCCAATAAAAAATCAACACTTAGCATTAAATTTTGCAAAAATTCAAAATGAAGTATTGGAATTCCTCTAATCATATAATTAGACATTTTAGTTAATTTTAAAATTTAAATGTTAAATCCAGTAAGATTATGCCATGTGGGTTAATTCAAAATTTAGATAATACACTAATAGATTTGAACCATTTTTTTTAATATTATTAAAAAAAATTCAAAAATTTAAATTAGGTATGTTTAGGTAGAATTTAAACATTTTAAAATTTTAAAATTAAATATTGTTAGATGTACCTATCACTTTAAGCCAAATATATTTTTTATTTTTGACAATATAAAAATTGAAAAATTGGGTTTAAGGTTTTGAAGCTGTTTTTTGTGTGTGTATTTAACTGGATGTATATTGATTGTAGATGATTGAGAGAGCTTGAAGGAGCAAATGTGAGATTAACTCTATGTATAGTTGATCTTCTTGATTTCGAGAGTTTACCTAAAACTATTAATGGGTGTGATGGTGTGATAGATATGAGATAAAATAAAAATAAATTAAATTCAAGATTTGATGAGTTTCAAATCTGATCAAATTGAAGAACAAACGCAATTCACATTTTTTTTCTTTAAAAAAAAAAAAAACAAGCCCAAATCATGCAAAATGTAATGATGAAAAGATGTGTAAATGAATTGAAAAATATTAGGAAAAAAATATACACACATAAAAGTAATAGGCATTGGAAAAATATATATAAAGTAGGAAATAATATTAGAATCATAAAAATGGAGACAATAAAAAGATGTGTAGATGAATTGAAAAATATTAAAAAATGTATATATATATGCACACAAAGTAACAAACACTAAAAAAATACATATAAAGTAAAAAATAATATTACACTGACCTTGTAATGATTTTCACAGATCATCAAACTTGTAAAATATAACAATCGAGAAGATGAGTTATTTTGAGAAAAGATAGGTAGATGAGAGAATGATTAAATGTAATAATAGAAAATATGAAAAGATATGTAGATAAACTGAAAAATATTGGCAATATATATATATATATACACACAAAAGTAATAAACACTATAAAAATGCATATAAAATAAGAAATAATATTAAGAGCATAAAAATGGAGAATATGAAAAGATGTGTAGATGAATTGAAAAATATTAAGAAAGAGAAATATATACACACAAAGTAACAAACACTAAAAAAATACATATAAAATAAGAAATAATATTACACTGACCTTGTAATGATTTTTCCAAATCATTAAACTTGCAAAATGTAAAAATGGAGAAGATGAGTTATTCTGAGAAATAAAAGATGGATAGATGAGAAAATGATTGAATTTGATTGGAGTAAATTGAATAGAGGTGTGTGTGTGAAAGTTATAGAAATTTCGGGTTTTTTTTTTTTTATTAAATTGAGATTGAGAGTGTGATAGATATTATTGTAGGTGATGGATATGGATGAATATTTTATTATTTGGGAATAAATATTATTGTTGGCGATGGATATAGATGATGGATATGGATGAATATTTTAATATTTTATATAGGGAGAGAGAGAGTGAAAGGGCTTGAAGAGTGAAAAGAAAGGTGAAAGACAGTGCCACGTAATATTTTTTTTCTTTCAAAATTATGAGAATTTAGGATTCAAGTTTTGAAACTTGTTGACTTAACAACTACATTTGATTATATATAATATAGATTTCTTTCGTAACTTCCTCTTTCACATCTTTTTCTCACTTTGATCTCTTACATCTCACATCATCTTTCTTACCTCTTCTAACTCTTATATCCAAAAATCTCCTAACCTTTGTATTTATTTGGATTATACTCTACACTTATTCGTGGATGTTCAAAGGAAAAAAAAAAATCAAAATATAGATTTTCTCATCAATAAAATGTGTCCTAACTTTTAATATTAACATACTCTATTTGTGTAACAACCCTCATCACTGTTTACTGATACTACCACTGATTACTACTAAACTGTGACTGAACATGATTAAATAATTGATTTGATTGACATTCTAAACTGATTGATTGAGTATATTAGTTTAAATGCATTTCTACCTGTTTGACTGTTAATTGATCTGTTCATGTTTTATCTTTGAATTGCGAATTGAAGGCCTTATCGGCGGCCGAATCTGAAATTGATTAGTGTTTCATGTTAATTAGAATTTATGTGATTTTATGGTATGTTTAATTGAAATTTGATTTTGAATGATTAAATTATATTAAATAATGTTAAATTACATTAGTTTGAATAAACTACCATCTTGCCACTTGGTGGGCCACTTACTAAGGCACCTTGAGACTTATTCAAACACGTTTTCTCAGCCATTTGAGACCCTTAACCGAGTGAAAGAGAGAGACTTGAGAGAGAGTTGCTTCTTTTAGAGAAACTCTTAGAGAATTGGAAGTTTTGAAGAGAGAATTGCATATTTGAACTTCTACATCTTGAATTAAGACCTAAGGTAGGAGAATCATCTTCTTGAATTTGTATTTAAGTTGTGTCTTGCATGACTCATGGGAATTTGGAGATTAATGTCAAGAATTGGTTTAAAATGTGGAATGGTGAGCTTGAATTATGCATGCATGTTTACATTCGTGAATTTTGAGATTGTTTTCATAGAATCCTCACATGCATGTCCATATTTGGGTTATAGTTCATGAATTCATCATGTTTTTTTGAAGTTTGGACTCATTTGATTATGTTTTGGAAGCTTTGAAGTTGATTAAATTCATGCATGTTGTATGTTCATTATGTTCATGAAATTTTGTTTGGAAATGGGTTCAATTGAACTACTTTTGGGTTTTGATTTTGCAAATTGATCTTTGAAACATGTCATATTATGAGTTTTAAAGTGTTTTCCAGAAAATTAGTCCAAAATGATCGAATTTGATGCTTTAAATGTTGAGTTTCATGCTTGGAGACAAATTTAAAAATTTAAGATTTTGGATCCACACTCAAGCGAGGAACTTCACGCTCGAACGTACACTCTGAGTTCATGTAGTCCGCTCGAGCGGGAAAAGTAATGCTCGAGCGTGAAATGCGTGTATCTAGTGCTTTGAATGTGTTTACAGTCCGCTCGAGCATAGCGAAGACTTGTGTCTCACGCTCGAGTGGGGGTCGAGCGCCCGTCGAGCGTGAATTTAACGCATCCAGCACTTTTGCAGTTCGCTCGAGCGAGGAAAGTCACGCTCGAGCGGAGATCTTTTGCCTACATGTCCGCTTGAGTGTAGAAAGTCACGCTCGAGCGAGACCCCTGCTTTTTAAAAATTTTGAAAAATGTTTTAAAGTGCATATTTGCATCCTCATTCCATCCTAGGCATTCCTAGACCTTGTTTAAGGCATCTTAATGAGGATATTGATGTAGAACCACACCGAATCAAAATAGGGGCTAAGTCATTGTTTCCCAAGTGTGTAACTTAGTGTGTGTTCGTTTTGTAACTGTGTAGGGTTGGCATCCGATGACGCTCACTAGCCTATCTGTAGTCCAGAACTCTGTGAGTAACAATGTTGTAAAGATATATTCACTTATTGAATAATTTCTGAATGATCAACTGTACTGTTTTCTGAAATGATATTTCTTACTAAATGAATGATTGTCCTATTTACGAATTGTATTCGTGGCATCCATAGCAATTTACTGTTACTGTGCTGTACTGCTACTGTCACAGAGATCTCTGTCGGTTTCCATGCTTGGAACCATTACTGTTTACTGATACGATGGCTATCAACTGACTGTTCGGTCTGTTAAGACCTATTGTACTGTTTGCTATTAGATGTACCACATATAACTGTTATGGTTTCTGAATGACTGATATATTGTTATAACTGACTATTTTAAATACTGAAAAGGACATTCATTCTTAACCTCTTTACGCATATGTTATTCACTGGGCTTTAGCTTACTGTTTATATATATATATATATATATGTAGGTGTCTAGGCACCAGATCGGAGTTAGGAGCGTTGGGTTAGACTCCCTTTTTGTCAAGCCAATCAACGTGCCTCACTGCAAGGTTCCAAGTGTGTCCAAGCCATGACTGTTTTGGGGTGTTTTAGATTCCCTCTTTCTGTCTCTGTTTTTGTATAGACTGACTGTACTTGTACTGTACTGTTCTAATATGGATTAGGTCCCTGTCCTGGATGATTGTATATGCATGTATATACTGTTTTGATTATGAATGTAAATATGTATGGAAAGTCTTTTTGCATACAGACTGTCACAGCTCATTAGACATCTTTTATTACTGCTTTGGCTTCCGTCTGCCCCTGTACTCTGTATTACTGTTATTACTGTTATCACGGATTACTAGCCGATTACGGTGCTAAACCCATAGGAGCGGGTTTGGATCGTGACAATTTGATAACTTCAAAGTGTTGGCTAGTAGTCAAGACTCCAGGCTTGAGATGTGTGCTCCCTTTAAAATAAAGAGAAATGAATAGAAATCCCTTCTTTGTTTGAATTACCAAATACGTGAGAAATACATTTATCTCATAACTTTTGTTTTCAATCTCTCCAAAAGTTGAGAGAAATGAAACTACTAAATATTATTTTGTTATAATATCAAAACTATCTTTTGAGATATAGAACAAATAAAAAGACTAACACTTGTAAAAAGATTAATTTGGTAATATAACATTACATCATTTTGTTTATTTTATTTTATATAACTTAACCAAACAAGATAGGAGATAAATCAATATCATCTATTTTCTTTTCTCTCTTATTTATTCAAATAAAAGGGAAATAAATCACAATAATATTTCATTTTTTTTTCTAATAACTTAGATAATCATTTATTTTATTTTATCTCATAAATTACCAAACATAAGTGTAAACAATTTAGAAGACCAAAAAAATATATATAAATAAATTTTTTAATATTTTTTAATTTTCGAATTTTAATTTAGGAATGCATAATGCAAAGTGGAAGAGGTTAAACTTGGAGTGGGCATCGAATAAGGATCAAAACATAATAAGTGGGTATAACGAAGGACCACTTGTGTAAATTGCATCCTCGTTGTGTTCGCCAGCATCTCTCAGCATTTAATGTCCAGCGACGGCGAAGTAGAGGAGCAACTGTAACCGAGGCTGTGGAAATATGCTGACCCTTATCTTCATTCTGGTTTCTCTCGCTTCAATTGTTGCTGTTTTCTTCAAATTCTGGACTGCCGATGGTATACAATTCCGAAACAAACCCACTTTAACAATTCTCAGCTTTCTGGGTTTTGATTTATTTCGCCATGTGATTGTTATTCTTAGGGGATTTCACGTTGATGTCCAAAAAGCACGCAAAACGCGAAGAAATTGAAGATAAGGTGTGCACAACCAATTTTCTACATTTTAACGTATAAAAAATCTGATACCTTTAATTTTGAATTTTAAGTATTGATTTGATTATTTTGTTGTTGAATGTTTAGGTTGTTTGGATCACTGGGGCAAGCCGTGGCATCGGTATGCGATTAATTTTTTGTTGTTGAATGTTTAGGTTGTTTGGATCACTGGGGCAAGCCGTGGCATCGGTATGCGATTAATTACTGTTTTAGTAAACAAATTTATGTGTTTAACGTTTGATTTAGTAATGTTAAGTGTTGACTTCATGGTCTGTATGCTGATAATTAGCTGTTTGAGGTATGCCTTGGAGCTCCTTTGATGAATTCAGGAGAATACTTGTTTTGTTTGTTAGAAAAATAGCATATGCCTATGTGAAATTATAGCTTTAAATTAAATTCATTTATGTGTATGTTGTGTGTATAGATTCTTTTATATTTCACTTAGCAGTTTTCATCTTCTTGAAATGGGTTTTATGTGTATTTGTTGGCAAATTCTTATGAGGTTTTGTATTGGAAATTTATATATTTGTTTGTTTTTACATGGATCCAAATTCTCCACTTGACTCTATTTAAAGCCACATTTTCGGTTAATTCCAAGACATCAAATCGAACTAACAATTCACATTGCCAAGGATAACACTCATCTTGTATCATTGACCAATTTTATATAGATACTGCATAAATGACCAGGCCAAGTTCATTATACCACTACAAGAAAAAACACATTTGGCGACTAAATTTTTAGTCGCCAAAAGGGAATTTTTAGTCGCCAAAAGTCGGTTTTTAAGTTTCTCCGACTAAATTTTTTAGTCGCCGGTTTGGTCGCTAGAAAACTGTCGCGAAAGGTATTAGCAACTAAAAAACTTTTAGTCGCCAAAAATCAAGTCTGTAGCGACTAAAAAACCAATAATTTAGTCGCTAAAAAAAATTAATTTCCCCCTAAAAATAACCACTTTCGGCGACTAAACTTATTTTTAGTCGCCAAAACCTTCACTTTTGCTGACTAAACTGAATTTTAGTTGTCAATTGTCCACTTTTAGCTACTAAATTTTTTTTAGTAGCCAAAAACCTTTACTTTTGGCTACAATTTTTTTTTTTGTCGGTAAAACACCTATAATCGGCGACCAAACTATTTTTTAGTCGCCAAAACCTATACTTTTGGCTACTAAATTTTTTTAGTCGCCAAAATCCTTCACTTTTGGCTACTAAAATTGTTTGTCGCCAAAACCCATATAATCAGCGACTAAACTGATTTTTAGTCGCCAATAACTACACATTTGGCTACTAAACTGTTTTAGTCGCCAAAAGTCTTCACTTTTGGCTGCTAATTCAATTTTAGTCGCCAATTATCCTACTTTCAGCGACGAAATTTATATTTTTAGTCGCTAAAATTGCTTTTTCTTGTAGTGTACCAATATTGTTCATGTTTTAGGAAAATTGAAATTGTCAAACTGGGATGAATTTGGATGGGAGCGGGATCCTGTTCTGCACCGTGGTGTTTTTTTTCCGAGGCAAACACCATAAATTTGTGGAATCTCATTGTTTTTTCTAGATGGTTGTTTCATTTGCTAGAAGGTTCTCTATTAAATATAAATATTCGAGCTTTGAGTTTATTATGTAATTTTGGAATGACCACTTTTCAATTGCAACCAACAAAAGGACTGATGACTTCTAGTGGAAAATTTTGAAATGCTTTGGGTTCTTATTGTTAACTTTGAATGCCCTGGTAACTTTTGTGCTTTACTGATTTTAAGATGATGCTTAATGTTTTGCAGGTGTGTACATTATCTCTTGATGAAAGCTGGCCTTAATGTTGAACTAAGTCTTTAAACTTGTTTAAATGGGTTAGGTGTTCAAGATTTTGGCCTTTTCCATATATTTTTTTAATCATAAAGAAAATAATTTGGAAGCATGAGATTTTATTTTTAGTTCCTTTATCTTTTTTCAATAACTGCCGCTTTGAGCTCTAGTTTTGGTTCTTTCACTCTAGGCATCTTTCTTCTTATTTGCCAAAATGTTCTGTGAGTTTTTCCTACTTTGGAGCTTCATTTGTTCCATGTTTTATAGAAAGTCTTATTTTTTCTCTTTACTATTGGATGGAAGGGGAGGTTCTTGCCAAACAACTTGCAAGTTTAGGTGCTAAGCTTATCATTTCTGCTCGAAATGAAGCTGAATTAGAGAGAGTCAAGAAACAGCTTTCTGGTATGTCCTTCCACTACGAACTCTATTCCCTTTTGCTCTTATTTTTCTCTTTAACCCGTTTTCTTGATATGTGGCTGGCATCTATGCAGGTAAACATGCACCTGATGAAGTGATGATTTTACCATTGGATTTGGCATCTGGGGAAGATTCTCTAAGGGTAGCTGTACAGAGAGCTGAATCATTTTTTGCCGGTGCTGGTGTGGATTATATGATCCACAATGCAGCCTATGAACGCCCCGTAAGTGTGAAGTTTCTGCACTAGTGAGACCCAATTAGGCATGCCGCTTGAATAAATTAATTTACTGTACATGGTACTAGACGTAGAGCAGGTATGCTATTTTCTTATGATTAGGTATAAAACAGTGCAGAAAATTCAAGTGGTATAATTATATCATCACAAATTTTATATTATGATATGGCTACAATGACTCATTATAGAATACAAGGTCCGTGCATAACATGGGTTACTGCTAGTATATACATATTGATAAGTTTTAGTTTATGTTTCTAGATGATTCCTTGCATTTCCATTGTTTTTTTGCACCATATCCCTTTTGTTTTTGAAATGCTTTTAAATCGTTTCAATTTTTGAATGATGAAAGCAAAAGTCTTGCTATCTAGATGAAGATGCATTTTTTGCTGATGATGACCCTCTCTTCTTTTGTAGAAAACTACAGCTTTGGATGTAACTGAGGAAGGTCTAAAGGTATTACACCAGCGAATGTATGGTTAGTACAAATTAGGCTTGTCAATGGATCAGATTGTGTTGCAAATCCAAATCCAAATATGATCCGTTCGGTAAGATGCGCCAGATGGTAACCTGACTGATCAATCTGGTTGATCAGCTAAGTAATGGATTGACCTTGGTTTAGGTTAATCCAGTTCAATCTATGATCCAATTTGGTTGAAAGAGAGATGTTATATGAGAAAATTATGCATTCTATCTTGATGTCTGTATATTTAATGTGATTGATGATTCAATGTCATTCTTCCTTTGAATGCTACTTCATAAGAAAGCCTTAGTTCTTTTATTTTATTTTATTTTATTTGGATGATTCCTTCTCTCTCTCTCTCTCTCTAAAGTCTGACTGCTGACTTCATCATATGCCATGAGTCTATGAGCAATGTGTTGTCTTTATATATGTACGAGTCAGGTCTCTCTGTCATATATAGATACCAAGTTTTTTAAGCTATTATTTTTTTTTCCCCCTATTTGTTGGATATATTCTCAGAGATTAATCATATTATTACTCTGTTTTGGAACCAGGCTACATTCAATGTAAATGTTATCGGGACAATATCTCTTACTCGGCTACTAGCACTTTTCATGCTTAAGCGGGGGAGGGGTCATTTTGTTGTGGTATGTGGAAATTAATGATATCCATTTTTGTTTGATAGAGACACTTATTCCTATCTAGAAACTTTATTTATTTTTTTAATTTTTAGTTTGAGGTAAGATGAATCCATGTTATCATCTTCATGCATGCAGACAAAATACAGACCTAAATGGTGGACCTTGACATGAGATTCATTACTTGGGTGATTCATTACAATCAAGTTTTCAGCTTTTCTCAGTTTTTTTTTTTTTTTTGGGGGGGGGCACAAAATTATGATATTTATCTACAATAATTGATTGGTTACATAATTTATCTTGTTGATTAGTGGCTTCATTACCTGGTAATGCATTTTTCCCCATTGTTCCTCTTTTTTTTCTGGGTGGGTATTGGTCATGCCAATTGATTAGAAAATTACCCCATTATTTTCAGACAGATGCTGCTTTTTGTTTCCTTTATGTTATTGTTATTTATTTATTTATTTTTTCCTTGTATCATCATATTTGTTTTATTTTTAACTTCATTTCATGTGCAGATGAGCAGTGCTGCAGGGAAGGCACCTGCACCAGGTCAGGCCGTATACTCTGCTTCTAAATTTGCTCTAAATGGGTACTTTCACTCTCTGCGTTCCGAGGTATGATTACAATTTCTGTCGTAATTACTGTGGTGCAAAATGCAAATTGCACATTGTACATTCTGCAAATTTTTACCGACTGCTTGCATACACTGTAATACTTGAAAAAAATTTAGAAGAAAAGGCAGCCAAAGCTGTGAGTTCCCTGATGAGATCTGTTGTAGCCATGTACTTAATTTGATGCATTTCATAGTCACTAAGGTATCATTCTTGAGAGTTTTGAACTGATTTAGAATTCTATGTGGTTGGCTTATTGGCATAGTGTAAAGGTATCAGGTAGCATTTACTGATATTATTTGTCGGGAGAGCTCGAAAGCATGGACTAGAAGGTTTACTGAAAATTGTTCATTTCTGGCAGTTGGAACGTTTAAAAGTTTGATTAATGAATTGTTCTTCAGATTATTGATAGAATCTTACTTAAACAGGGCAGAAAAGATCAAATCTTTCTAGTACATTTGTTGTCTACCCGTTTATCTGTCTTATACTTGGGGATAAAATATTAAATTGGGGAGGCTTCTCCTGCTGGATGACCAGGGAACAAAATGGACAATAATTTTCTTCCTCTTCGTCTTATTGGAAAGCATCTTCTTGTTTTTCCTCTTCTTCATATCCTTTTTATCTCGCATGCTTATCTTTTGTGATTGCAGCTCTATAGAAAAGGAATCAAGGTGACTGTTGTATGTCCTGGACCGATAAAAATGTCAAGTGTTCCTGAAGCGAGCACCTCTGGCCAAAAGGGCTTTTCTGAGGTAATTTTCTTAAAATGATTTTCTCTAATGGTGTCATGAATTATTTGTCATACTATTCTTACTTTAAGTTATTTTCTGCATTTCAGTTATATGTATTATTTATCAATCTTGTTGTCACAATTTTATTTTTTTCATGAATTAAAATATATTATGTAGTAGGGTAAACAGAAAGGCCATTACTATCATGCATCTTGGTATACCATGACTTTTTCCAAAGTTTGTGTACATCAAAAGTGACTAACTGATTGCATTGCTGGCTACTTGATCAGTGAGAAGGCATTTAGTAGTTGTGGAATGGTAATTCTATAATGCCTTTTATTCAGATGCTTTCTTTCTGTTTTCTCAGAAGCGTGTGTCATCAGAGAGATGTGCAGAGTTGACAATTATTGCTGCAACCCATGGACTAAAGGAAGTCTGGATATCATATCAGGTATTATCAATGAGATTAGAATATTATTTGCAGTAGCTAACATTCCAAATTTTTTTTGGATCTTATAAGTGAAAAAGTAATGAAAATAATATCAGCTTGCATGTTGAATGATGTTTCTGTGTTCATAAAATTAATGGGATAAAGCCTGGATGTTGACAACTAAGTTGATGGTGAAATATAGTGGACATATTATAGGCAGCAGCATAGCTAAAATAGAAAAATAATATGGAAGCAATTTATTGTGGTTCATTGAAAGGTTGGTGTCAGTTCTCTTCCCATCCTTGGCATTTTTTTCTTGCTTAAGAACATGACCAACATCTTAGTTTAAGTATGACCTCAAGCTTGATTTTTAACATAAAATGACATGTGGAACAAGGACACCATTGCAGCGAGTTTGGGGAGTACTTTGGTCAAACGGCAAATTTGGGTTCAAAGGTGGGCATTGAGGGTAAATGAATCACTCTCCCACTTACAAAGCAATTTTTACTATTTTTCTTGAAATTCGAGTCAGTATTGCTGATGTCATTGGGCAAGGTTTCAAGAGTGGACCTCACTATTATAGCCGGTCAAATGTTTGCCTTATTCATCTTTGGCATGCTCTAATATGTTTTAAGTTACTTGTTTGCTCTACTCATGTATGACATTTAAAATTTCTGATTGGTTTTTATACTTGGTTTGTCTTGTAGCCTGTACTTGCAGTTATGTACTTGGTGCAGTACATGCCAACCATTGGCTTTTGGCTTATGGACAAGGTATTATCTATGCTCCCATCATTAAAACATTTGCCTTGTTCTAGATGTCCAATCATCACACAAAAACCTTGACATATTAGGAAATTAGGGCCTAAGGTTGTATACAATGAGATTTGTGGTCGATTTATGGCTAGTAGAGCTTCTATGGTTGGGGTTTGAATTGGTAGATGAAAGGTTTCATGGTTCACTGAAGGGGAAAGGTTTAAAATGGTTCAATCTTCCAAGTTGGAAGTTGCTGGATTTTCAAATAAAGGGCTTAAACAACAGATATTTATTGTTTGTTAAATCGGAGGCCAATAGGACTGGGCAGTTGGCCCAGTAGTCCATGTAGCTGTCCCTTTGGACAGTGAGAAGGTTAGATGTTCAGGGTTTGAGTCCATGGAGCGACGGCGGCCCCTTTGTTATAATCTAACTCATTAACCCCCTAACATCCTATCATATGGCAAAAAAAAAAAGAGAAACTTGGAGGCCAATAGGTAGGGGAAAAGTTTGGACTTGATTTGGGTGAGTTATATAATAAATAAATGATTAATAAGAACATATTATTTAAAAAAATATAATAAATAAATGATTAATAAGAACATATTATTTAAAAAAATATAATAAATAAATGATTAATAAGAACATATTATTTAAAAAAATATAATAAATAAATGATTAATAAGAACATATTATTTAAAAAAATATAATAAATAAATGATTAATAAGAACATATTATTTAAAAAAATATAATAAATAAATGATTAATAAGAACATATTATTTAAAAAAAAAAATTAAAAAAAAAATTAATAAGAACATATTATTTAAAAAAATATAATAAATAAATGATTAATAAGAACATATTATTTAAAAAAAAGTTATCTTATTACTATGAATAATTAATCTATGTTAATTTATCTATTTTTTACTAAGACTATGCGCCTTGCTTTAATAAAGCCCGCGCCTCGCCTTGCGCCTTGCGCCTAGGCCTCGAGAGACCTTCAGCGCCTTAGTGCGCCTTGAGCCTTTAAAAACACTGAATGAATCACTCTTCCACTTACAAAGCAATTTTTACTATTTTTCTTGAAATTCGAGTCAGTATTGCTGACGTCATTGGGCAAGGCTTCAAGAGTGGACCTCACTATTATAGCCGGTCAAATGTTTGCCTTATTCATCATTGGCATGCTCTAATATGTTTTAAGTTACTTGTTTGCTCTACTCATGTATGACATTTAAAATTTCTGATCGGTTTTTATACTTGGTTTGTCTTGTAGCCTGTACTTGCAGTTATGTACTTGGTGCAGTACATGCCAACCATTGGCTTTTGGCTTATGGACAAGGTATTATCTATGCTCCCATCATTAAAACATTTGCCTTGTTCTAGATGTGCAATCATCACACAAAAGCCTTAATAATGTATGACATATTAGGAAATTAGGGCCTAAGGTTGTATACAATGAGATTTGTGGTGGATTTATGGCTAGTAGAGCTTCTATGGTTGGGGTTTGAATTGGTAGATGAAAGGTTTGATGGTTCACAGAAGGGGAAAGGTTTAAAATGGTTCAATCTTCCGAGTTGGAAGTTGCTGGATTTTCAAATAAAGGGCTTATTGTTTGTTAAATCGGAGGCCAATAGGACTGGGCAGTTGGCCTAGTAGTCCATGTAGCTGTCCCTTTGGACAGTGAGAAGGTTAGATGTTCAGGGTTTGAGTCCATGGAGCGACGGCGGCCCTTTTGTTATAATCTAACTCATTAACCCCCTAACATCCTATCATATGGCAAAAAAAAAAGAGAAATTTTGAGGCCAATAGGTAGGGGAAAAGTTTGGACTTGATTTGGGAGAGTTTTGAGCTGAAATCAAGGCTGTTTCGAGGCTGTGAATTTGTAACCCGAGAACAGTGTCTTGAATCTCTTGATTGTTGCTCAGAGAATAAAGAAAAGAAGGAAAGAAAGTGAAAAATGGTGAGGGCTTTCCCTCCCAAGGGTTAAAACAAAATCTCATATAAGAACAATACGAAAATCTCCAAAATTCAATTCTTCATTGAAAGGAAAGATCAGTTGCACATATGTATGAACTTATACTAATAGGACTAGAACTTCAAATTAGGAAACTAATAGACTTTGATTATTTAGGATATTCTAGACCTATTATAGACCTTGCAGATATATATGAGCTATAGTAATAGGACTAGTTGCAAGTGTGTGCATTCAAAGCTTGTTTGGTTGAATCTTTGAAGATAGGTTCCTATCTGAATGAACCTTTTCCAGTGACTGGTTCCAACTACATAAATGAAACTCAAGGTGATTGGCTTGTTTAAACTGAAAATTTTAATATATATATATATATATATATGAATGAACAAAGAACAATCTGGGGGTGATCTGGTCATTTTGACATTCCATTTCATTCTATGCAGTATTATCTACTAAATATCATGTTATAGCTTCTGCTTTATTTTATTATCGCAATTCTGTGTTTTCTTGAGTGTTATGTGATTCTGTTAGTACTAATTGGGTCTTTTTTGTTTGTTGGTTTTGGTAAATGGGTCTAGGTTGGAGCAAAACGGGTAGAAGCTGCTGCACAAAAGGGGAATACATACTCGTTGAATTTACTATTTGGAAAAAACAAGGCACTGTAATTTTTGTGATGCTTCAGGACACTCATTTATTAAATACATAGATAATCAATCAACTCTATAATATTGAGGGATAATAATCATATTTGTTGGGACTTTTCAAAGAATTCATATATGTTGGACTTTTTAATGAATTTTTTTTATACTTATTCTTAATGCATTAAAGTGTTATTATAAGGGTAAGACTTGGGGGTTGTGAGAAATTGATAAATGTTAAGGTTTTTTTTTTCTTTTAAATCAAAAAATCAAGAAATTTAGATTAGGAAATTTGAACCCCCCACAAAACTTGTGAGTTAGAGATAGATATAAATAAATATATAGATATAGATATAGATATAGATATTTATATTTGTTTTAAATTTTTTTTAATATACAAATTATTTGTTTTGGAAAAGGTACTGCAGTAATTATGAGAGAAGTCAAAAAGTCTTGTGGGTTGAGAGAAGTTAATAAATGCTGAGGTTAATTTTTTTTTTAAAAAAATAAAAAATTAGAAAATTAGGATTAGCATATTGGAGCTCCCACAGGCCTTGGGAGTTAGAAATCTCTTTTTGCTTAATATATAGTATAGATAAATAGATAGATATAGATATAGATATTTATATTTGTTTTGATATACAAATCATTTGTTTTAGAAAAGATATTGCAATAATTATGAGAAAAGTTAAAGAGTCTTGTGGGTTGAGAGAAGTTAATAAATGTTGAGATTAATTTTTTTTTTTAAAAACAAAAAATTAGAAAATTAGGATTAGCATATTGAAGCTCCCACATGGCTTGGGGGTTACAAACCCATTTTACTTAATATATAGTATAGATTAATTCAGTGGATAATTAATCCAACAAATTTGTCCAACAAATTTGTAGGATTATTAGTAATGGGGTACGGGTGAGATTATTAATCTAATGGATAATTTATCCTATTAATCCAATTGAATAGCGAATACCACACTAATTTTAATAAGATTATTAATATTCCAATATTAATCTTGTGAATCAAACATAACCTTAAGGAATAACATAGAATGTTATGTTATTGATATTGTTCAAATGAACCTGAGCATACTACTTAAAAAGAGAAAAAGAAAAGAAAAGAAAAGAAAAGAAAATTCAATCATGGTATAACCCATTCTTTGTTCATCAAAATGTTATTCAAAATTACAAAGTCTGGTGTATTATACTTTCCGAGGATCTGTAAGTGAAAAGTTCCCAAAATTAATAGCAACTGAGAGACAGAAACTAAGCGAACTCTCTCACTTGCTATTGAGATGAACTTCAGTTAGATGATCCTAACCAAACTTTTGCATCAACTGTAGAAATCAAAATCAAAAATCAACAAAATTAGGAAACAAATTATAGTTGCTGTGTACATTCTTTTCTTGCCCTAGAAAGTAGACTGAAAACCCTCTTCACATCCATCCTCCTCCATCTATTTCCTTCCAGATCAAGACTCTCTCAAATCATGTATCATTCCATACTGTGAAAGTTTGAGCTCCATGACAAACTGCCATATTGTTAGACCTAGCTGGTGCAAGTGTCGGTACTGCTGTAGGAATCCAGTTGTTACAAGATGTGCCCTGAATCTGATGATGATGATGATGATGATCATATTCATACACACTCGCCTTCACCGCTCCACCACCAGCACTCAATGATTGTTGATGCTGCGAAAGATAATACAAGTTCCTTCCATGATAAGGATCTGGCATCACACCAAATATGTTTTCATTATCCCCAAAACCATGAGCAGTGGTGTTGTTTCCTTCTTGAGAAATCACTGTTGCAATTGGCATCACAAAACCACCACCGCCATTACTATCTCCTCCACCACTATAAACCAAGGAATTGGAGCCCGCAGAGCTGTGTTCATCCAAGCTCATGAGGTTGTGCAAAGCAGAAGTAGGGTGGTGGAAGAAATTGTGAGTATTGTTTCCCAATTGAAGTTGGTTTAAATCATCTTGATGATCTTGATCTTGTTCTTGCTCTTGCTTACACCATACTGGCATTGTTGCTCTTTGCTGCTGCTGACCAATCCCATATGGGTGGTAATGCATGGTGGAGCTATAAGGCTGAGCTTGTTGGAATGCAATGGTGGGCCATCCATCACCGTAGACTGCAGCATTGGTAATTCCATGATCGGTGAGACTGAGATGTGAATTTAGCAAGTTGTTGTCATCGACTAGGTGGGTATTGTTGTTATGCATAGACATAGTTGTCATGTTTAACTGATCTGCCTTGTCGGCGGCATCTTTCAGTCGCTTGGCAGCTCCGCCAATGGGTAAAGTGCTACTCTCAAGTATGCTTTTAACATCATACCTACTCATGTCAAAGTTTGTTACTGCATTCAGTCCTCTGAATTTTATTGCTGCTATGTCATACGCTTCTGCTGCTTCCTCCTGGGTGCCTACAATAAAATTATAATTAATTACTCAAATTAATTATACTTTTTACGGAGTTCTAAGTGAGAGTTGTGATGCATGTCTTAATTTTCTACATGAATTGCTTTTTGTTTTAGCCTTTTCTTTTAAGTCTTTTATATATATGTTTTTCTTATTTCCTTTTGAAATGAAAATCTTTCCAATGTAAGCATTTAGGTCATCCACTTAATAAGAGTTCATGTGCATATGCATCTCATCCATTAATTTATTTGTTCTTCATCAACGACTAATGTAATATGTTTCATTTTCACTGGATACAGACAAACTAGCATTTCTATAGAAGTTGAATTTTTTTTGATTTGTTTCTACTGATTTACCGCTCCCCCTTCCATATATATGTGATTTCATAGATAACAATGAAAAAAATTCATTTTAATTTTTTTAAAAATACATATGAACTATATATCTAGAAAAAAATAACTAAAAATGTATTAGAATTGAAAAAAATGTTGAGTAGAGAAATACTTACTGAAAGTTCCCAAATAAAGATCCTTATTCCCTGCAACTCTTCCAATCCTTGCTTGCCATCTACCATGTTGATGATGTCTGTCATACAACAAAATTGATTTCAAATGACAAATACATATATTACTATCATTTGTCAATCAACAAAATTGCATTTACATCCTGATAAACCCCAGTTTTTTAAGGTCAATTTGAATGTACTTACAATAATTATCAGCTTTTGATGTTGTAAAATGTACCCAATAGTGTTATATAATTTTGAGAAACCACACATCTAACGATTAAAATTATTAAATCTTCATCATATTTAGATTTTAGCAGTTCATTTGTGGCCAGTAAGTAATAACCATGGCTGACTTGATGCTCTGCAGTTGGAATGGTCTGAGGCCCCTCCAGTTTGAGTTTGTACTCTAGAGAAAGATCATGCTCTGCTGTGGCTGCTGCTGTGTGGATTGTATCATGTTGCTTTAGGTGGATTGTATCATGCTTATGTGTGGGATGTCATCACCCATGTGAGAGATGATTCTCCATGTGAAGAAGGAGTTGGCAATGTGCAAAGCCAACACAAGAGCTGGCCATGTTAGGAAACCTTTGGCCATGTGAAGCCAACACACAAGAGAGTTGGCACAAGCTGGCCATGTGCTGGCCAGCCCCTCCATCTCTATTCTGTTAGTGTATAAATGGAGGCTGAGGGGAGGGTTTGAGATGGAGATCAGAAATTAGAGAGTGAGAGCTGTGAGTTGAGTGAGTTTCATCTCCTCCTCTGTATTTGTATTTTTGCTCCATTTTAGTGATAATTCTCATTTCTGTCCGTGGATGTAGGCATTGGGCCGAACCACGTAAATATTGTGTTCTCTGTGTGTGTGAGATAACTTTCTGGGTGTCTTTGATCCTAACAAAGTGGTATCAGAGCTAAGTTGTACGTTTTTCGGAAAAACAGAGTGTTGTTTCGAAACTGCCCAAAAATCGTATTGCTCGAAATCCGATTTTGAGCATATCAGGAGCAAGGGCTCGACGAGAGGAGTCCAGAAATATAAAGCAGACACCCAACGGAGGCCGGACGAGCCCTCACGCGCCCCTGGAAGTTGGCGCGTGAGTCCCAGTCGCGACACGCGCCCACACGCGCCGTTCAGGCCACCGGCGCGTGGTCCCAATCTCACCCACGCGCCCCACGCGCGGCGCAAGGAGGACGACGACTGAGGGAGCAGCACGTGCCATATACGCGCCATCAACACGCGCGCGCGCCAGCCGAGTCTTCAGCCGCTGACCGAGCCGTTGACTGAGCCGCTGACGTCAGCCCGACGCCAGCCGATCTGGAGAAATAATCTGGTGCTTCTCAGGCGCACCAGATTCTGCCGATCTGAACCGTTAAAATTGTTTTGGCTTGATCAAAGCCATTTGGGGTTCGTTTTTGGTGATCCAATAGTAGTTTCCGACTATTTGGAGTATTCCGGACACATCCGTACGGTCAGATTTTGCAAATAAGTTTTTAAAAATTTACAATTTTTATTTTGGCAATCCGAAGTATTTTTTCGGCTAATTTGTGCTGTCCGGACTTCACAGCAAAGCCTGTTTTTCAAACATAGATTACTTTCTGAATGATGGAGGAATCCACATCAGTTTCAGGGCCGATGATTCGGTTGAACGCTTCTAATTATGCGATATGGAAGCCACGGATGGAGGACGTCCTGTATTGTAGAGATTTGTTTGACCTTATAGCACTAAAGGGGGTCAAACCAGATGGAGACAAGGATGGGGACTGGATAAAAACCAACCGGAAGACTGTCGGTCAAATCAGACAGTGGATTGACCACAGTGTGTTCCACCATGTTGCCCAAGAGACAGACGCCTATGCCCTATGGATGAAATTGGAGGGCATGTACCAGTCCAAGACCGCACGGAACAAAGCCTTGATAATGAGAAAGCTTATAAACCTGAAGCTGAAGAATGGTGTGTCTGTTGCTGAACACACCAGTGAATTCCACAGCCTTGTGAACCAGCTTGCATCAATCAAAATGGAGTTGGAGGATGAGAAGCAAGCATTATTATTACTCAGTTCCTTACCAGACAGCTTTGTTAAGGGCTTTTGGGTCGATTTCATGGCAGCAATACCACTTCCACAGGCATGTCTTCAAGTTCAATGCTTTTTCTTGAATTGCTTTCTTGTTTCAATTGTATCTTCTCTGTTTAATTGTTATTGATTTATTAAATTGTCATTTTTTTTATAGAAATTTATAAAAACATATGAACTGTCAAAGGTGCTTCATTTAATTCTGTACTTAAAAGCTTTCATTTCTATCTCCCCACCACTCTCCAACAACCCACAAGGAAGAGAGGGAAAAGAGGAAAGGAAAAGAAAAAGATCCAAACACAGCCCAAAAATTAACAAATGAGTCCGATCACAAAACGGGACACAACCCATGTGAAAGATGTGTTTGATTATGTGATCGGATTCTATGATAAGCTATGTCTCATTACTCTTTATCTAAACACTGTTGGCTCCATCCACTACCCACATGGTAATGAGCCCACCATTCACATAGTGTAGGTAGCACCATGTTGTAAAAGAAGGTGGTGGAGGGCTACACCAACTCACTAAAGGAAGATAGTGAGGGTGGCACTACCTTGGCCAATTATGGCTAGCACTTCACCTACTCCTCCTCTCTTGGTTATAAATTGAGATGAGTGAGGAGAGGTTTGAATCATCAGAAATTGGAGAGTGAGAGCTGTGAGTTGAGTGAGTTTCATCTCCTCCTCTGTAATTGTATTTTTGCTCCATTTTAGTGATAATTCTCATTTCTGTCGAGGTGATAGAGAAATGTTGCAAGGCAAATTGTGCAACAAACTGTACAGACTGGAAGGAGAAGTTTTGACAAAGATGAGTGTTGTCAAATGCCAGTCGAAGGGTACAAAGAGAGAACATACGCAACCAATGCGTATGATTGAGCAAGGCTTTCATCAGGAATGGCGAAAATGGTGCACGGGAACGCAAGGAGGCAGTTCAAAGGTGCACAGATCTGAGCCAGTGAAGCCTATCTTGAAGAAAGTTCAGAGCAAAGAAACCAAGTCTGTAGAGACTATGCCAGTGAAGAAGAGAGTTTCTTTTGCTTCCGTGTTAGAGACATTTTGCAACCTCTCAAAAGATGCATGGAAGGGAGGGATGCGATCTCAAGTCGCAAAGTGAGCTTTGCAATGCACTCCAATAAGGGGGTGCAAGCACTATGCACGGAGTTGCATAGTGGTAACTTGTATAGACCGGTGGAAGTTGTCTTGGCAGAAGGGCTAACTGTCAAACATCAGTACAGACGTACAAGTGAGACAGAACCGAACATCAGGGATTGCAGCACAGACAACGGGCGTATGAGATCGCTGGGAAGTTGTTCTGAAGTGCAGGAAGCAAGGGCTGGTTGTTCAGAAATAAGCTTCGAGCAAGGAAAATTGAGGATGTTGATGTGTCAAACTCTGAAGTTTTCTAGTTGCTCCCATGTTCATCATGCAAGGAGTTGCACGGTAATGCAAGGGTATCCCGAGCAGGGGGTACAGGGCATCCAATCAGGGGGTGCTTGATACCTTGGCAGCAGGTTTTGTTGTGGATCACCTCACATGGGCTGAGGGGGTGATTTGTGGGATATCATCACCCATGTGAGAGATGATTCTCCATGTGAAGAAGGAGTTGGCAATGTGCAAAGCCAACACAAGAGCTGGCCATGTTAGGAAACCTTTGGCCATGTGAAGCCAACACACAAGAGAGTTGGCACAAGCTGGCCATGTGCTGGCTAGCCCCTCCATCTCTATTCTGTTAGTGTATAAATGGAGGCTAAGGGGAGGGTTTGAGATGGAGATCAGAAATTAGAGAGTGAGAGTTGTGAGTTGAGTGAGTTTCATCTCCTCCTCTGTATTTGTATTTTTGCTCCATTTTAGTGATAATTCTCATTTCTGTCCGTGGATGTAGGCATTGGGCCGAACCACGTAAATATTGTGTTCTCTGTGTGTGTGAGATAACTTTCTGGGTGTCTTTTATCCTAACATTATGCTTCTGTTTAGTCAATGTATAGGTGGCTGGTCTGGTTTTCTTTTTTTTCTTTTTTTTTTCCCTTTCTCTTGCTTTCTTTTGATTGGTTTCTCGCCAATCTTGGGTCTAAGTGCTAGCAGATGATTTTGCTTCCTTAGCGGTGCCAACCTAGTTGGGATTGTTAAGACCAGCGGTGATGCTTTTGCACTTCTCTCTTTATTGATGTAAGTTTAATGTTTGTTCTACTTTCTTCATCAATAAAGTTCTCTTTTGCTTATCAAAAAAATAACCATGGCTGACTTTACAAGTTTTTCTAATTTTTTTACAATTATGCATCATCTTGAAGCCAATTAGGCTGCCAATGAACCATTGTTCTTTTGCGCAATAATTTCTTCACAACAAGGTACTAAACCAGTACATATGCAGAAGAATTCTTACTTCAAAGTGCCTTTTAAGATGACAGTGCATTGAAAAAAAGGAAAAAAAGACAGAACTAAAACTCATCAACGTTGGCCTAATACAGATGAGGAAAAGCTGAATGAAAGATATGTAAGAATGCAGATATGTCACAATCAATCCGGTTAAGTTTACCTTGTAACTCCTCGATAGATTGATGCTCCACGAGAAAAACCACTGCTCTTTCTGCATTAAACATAAAGAGTATTAAATACTAATTTCATACATTAGTTCTTCTTCATATATAAATCAATATCACAATGAAATCAAGAGTGCATTCCTGTACTATATATACGTACCTTCGAAGAGATGCAACATACTCCTGCCTGGTCATGTGCTTCATTTCTTCAATTTCTTTCTCGTAGTTGCTTGTCTGACATTTCAAAACAAATATAAAATAACTGCAAAAATACCAAAACAAAAATATGTGCAATACAGTATGAAATGAACACATTTAATGTTTGATGGTAAAATTAGGACATCCAACATTTTGGATATGAATTCCCAACATTTGTAATCTTAGAAAGAAAAAAAAAAAAGGATCGAAACCTTTTAGTGTGTGATAACTGATCACTATAAAGCCTTTCCCGTCCCATAAGAAGAATTATTTAGTCTTAAAAAAATGGGTGGGACAAAACTTCCGGGTCACAGAGTTTAAAATATGTCTAAGGTATTCATTTATTATTTTCAAAAATTGAAATGGAAACAGAAACTTACAGGGAAATTTGTAGTGGTAGTGGTGCCCCAGTACTTCAATGCTGCTAGATCATAAGCTCTGGCTGCTTTCTCTTCCTTATCATAGCCTCCTATATTTCCGAAACATATTACAAACGATTAAAAAAAACAAAATCATTGGTTTGGAAAACCCTTGATCTCATGAACAGAAGTTACATTAATCAAGTGATTTAATTTTAAGGGAAATAAAAAAGGGAATATAAAAAAGGAAGAGCCACAGGGAGCACTTTTTAACTTACCCAAATAAACTGCAGAGACGTTGAAGAAGCCCCATACCAAATCATTATATAAGAAATCAGTCCCCCAAAAAAAAAAAACACATGTTAAATACAAAATAAAACGTTTTGATTTAAATTTAGAAATAAAAAATCTAACTATCCCATACCTTGCCTGCCTTTGCGAGTCTGTCCTTCTCTTCTACAACTATTATCCCATAGATGAGCCTCATATCTACCTGTCCATCTATGTCTGCAAAATCAAAATCACCCTCAAAAAGTTTTAACATGCATAAAAAAATCAAGATTACAATAAATACAAATGTTCATATCTACATAAGTGCACAAAATAATTTGAGGAACAAACATGCAAAAGTGTAAATAAAATTATTTCAAACCGTCTATGTGTGGTCTATATAGTTTAGTTGGTATTTGACAGTATCCATTGATATATCAGTAAATATTGGCATCCGAAGTTCAAAATTTGGATATTTTACCTGGTTACACCACGGTATATGGAAGTCCTTTGACCAAATGTGTCAATAGATTTGCGAGGCACCGCCTCTATTGCACCAGTTTGCGCATCGAGAGTTGTCTCCTTGGGCTGGCTGTTATCTGATGAAGTACTCTCACCTCCTCCACCGCCACCGCCACCACTAGCACCACCACTTGCAGTCAAAAGCGGCAGAGGAGACTCGGACCTCATCGATAGCGACAAAGTCTGTGCACTTGTTGGTCTTCCTTTAGCCACTCCTCCAATACCACCACCGCAACCACCGTCATTCTTGTTCTCTGGCTGTGTGGGTGTCGGTTGATTCCTCAACCAGTTCTTGATCATAGAAAGGCCTATAGTGGTGGTGGGGGTGGAGTTGTTGTTAATGCTTACTCCTCCATTACTCCCTTGGCCATTATCGGCGATTGCCTCCGACGGAAGCTGCAACGAACAGTTTGGATACATGTTGTAGTCAGCAGCAGCACCGCCACCACCAGTGACGCCGCCATAAGAAGCAGAGCTAATGGTGTTGCACCGACCGGAAAAAGAGTGTCCACCGAGGAAGTTTTCAAGCTTTGGCCCACCTTGGTTTTCAAGGTTCTGACTATTGCATGAACTACCCATTAGCATAGAATAGTCTGATGATGAGTTTGTTTTGTAGTTAATGTCAGAGTTCATACTCATATCTTTCATATTCCAATCTGCAAGCAAACCAAAAGAAGAGAAAAAAAAAAATAAATAAAAAAATTCTTTATGCATGTTTCTAGATATAGTACTTGTAAATGATTTGATGGGTATGCGATGTAAAGAACAAACCTTGAGATTGATTGTTTCTGTTGAATGCTTCAAATATGCCAAAAGGGGCTGGGAGGTTTAGAGAAGGAAGAACAGATGAGTCAGAAGAGAGATCAAAGCATTCAGCGGAGACATCTGTACCGGAGATTTCATCTTGATGATGACGCTGAGGCTGCTGCTGCTGGGGTGGGAGTTCTTGTGGTGAGAGAGAAAAACCCAACCAGTTGTTCATGGAAGAAGCCATTAATTAGTATTTTCAAGGTCCTTCCTGTGGCTATGGGGTGAGACTGAACTAAGATATACTAGAGTTTTAGAGAGAAAACCATGAGTTGAACTTGAAAGGAGAAGGAAGAAGCGGAAAGGTCTAAAGAAATGAAGAGAAACTCAACTCAATTCTTCCAAGGCAGAATGAATAGTAAGTAGTACTACAAAATCTCTCTGAAGAGTTATAAGTAATAAATAAACTCTCTCTCTCTTTCTCTCTCTCTTTCTTAGGGCTACCATGATAAATGAAGTGCCCCTCTAATTCAAAGGCAGTCAAAGCTCTAATCCCAAACCCTCCTTATATGAATGAGAAGCAAATGGTAGACTCACGAGGGTAGCCTTGTATTTTTGTCTTCCTCTCTTTTGTTTTCAATTTATTTATTTATTTATTTATTTATTTATTTATTTTTTTTTTTTCACTCTGTTTTTTAAAGAACTCATAATTACTGGAGTACTAAAAATTTCAAAATGTGATTGTGTCTTTGCACATGATTGAATTGTAAAGATTTTGAAACAATTGATCTTATATATGTCATTTTTATACTATCAAAGAAATGAAAGGATTATATATATTGAAGTGTAAATTTTATGTAAAAAATTAAATATGAATTATATATATGTATATTACTTCTTTTAATAAAAAATTAATTTTTTTTTAGTACATACAAATAGTGATAAACATGACTACTTCTTCCCATTCTTCCTCAAAACACCAAAGTTTGTTTTTTTTCTCAATCTCTCTTAAGAATTTTATTAATCAGTATTGGCTCACTGACATAAAATAAAATAAGATAAAAAATAAAAAAGGATACACAAGCCTATAAAAATTTGAATTGTGGCCTGCTTCTTGTTGTACTTTTCTACATAAATAAGTTGAAAACTCTTTCTTTCGTTTTCATCCAAAAATAGGCAATAGTAGCTGTAGCAAGTTGAGCACTGGAACTTATCTTCATGCCTTTTTTATAGTTAATTGTAAATTATTTATTATTAGGGAAACACATGAATAAAATAAAGGAACTCATACATAACCCATGAGCATGTGGTTTCGTAGCCTTAAAACAAACCTAGCAGTTTCAGGGATATACCCTTTCATTTTCATTAATATTCTTCTACTTGGTTTGGTTTGGTTTAGCTGTGGCTAATTGACTAAAGAGAACACCTGTGGAAGAAGATGAAATCTGACAAAGGGTGTGACAAAAAACCCACACGTAGCTCCTCTCCGCACCCATTTATTCATATCATATTATTCATTCATGCCCAGTTGGACATAAGTCATTTCACTGTCAGATATCTGGTCCAGCTGCCACAACCCTAACCCAACCCTCCCTCCCCTACTTTTTCATTTCGCAGTTTTTTTAATTTGTACTCAAATGAATGACGGAATCAGATGCAATCTTCTTAACATGTAAGTGTTATAAAAATATATAATTCACTTAGCGTGGTAAAATTGTGTTCGATTCTACATACATCTCATAAAATAAAATAAAATTATATCAAATTCCGTAATCCATTTCCATATTTCTCAACTATTTCTTTCATTTCATTTCATTCATAATTGCCATCTCTCTCCTGTGTGTGTATGGAAGAGAGAGAGAGAGACTCAGAGAGAGGACCCCTGAGGCGGCCTTTAAGCACCCATAACTTTCTCACATTCCATCCATCCATACTGTTATTTTACTATTATCCCCAGTCCTAATCATCAAATTGCTCTGCTCCCCCGCTGCAAGCGGGGTCTCTCTCTCTCTCTCTCTACTGAACACATAGCAATAATTCATGCATGACTGAGACTGCGGTTGTGACTGGGACTGACATTATTTATTTTTACTATAATGTATACAAAGCTAGAGAATCCTTCACATTTGCTATAAAATAAAAAATTAAAAAAAAAGAAAAAGAGTGAAAAAGATTAAATTAGAAGATGGGTTTGCTTGCTGTACCCCTATACTTGAACACTAGCCCTTGTCTTCCGGGTCTTGAGGTTATTTCATTCTCAAGATTTTGGGACAGATTGGAAGAAAATCTCTCTCTCTCTCTCTCTCTCTAAATATATTCCTAAGCCTAAGGGATCCAATTAAGGAATACATAGTCCCTCTCTCCCTCATACATAAACACCCCTCCCTCAAAAGTTTTTGTCAACTGTTTCTCTCTCCACTCTTCCTTTGAGTGAATCTGATTGTTAATTTTTTTCTCTGTCAACTCTCTCTCTCTCGTTGTGTGTTTATATATAAAAAAGGAAAAACATGAGTTCATAACAAACAATTGCAATAATCATGTATATTAGATACGACTAAATTCAATTCCTCCTTTACTTTAGTAAGCTACATGCACCTAAATTCAATGCTTGTTATTCACATTGAGAATATAGTCACACACACGGACTGCTATTTTAAAATTTTCAACATGTACAAATTTTTCTTATAAATTATTGTGTCATTTATTAATAAAAGAAAAATAATATACATGTTTGCTTTTTATATTCACTTTATAAATTTAGTGATGTGTCAAGAAAATCGTTTGATAATTAAAAAATATTTAATTATTAACCAATCATTTTCTTGATACATTACTGAATCTAACTTTTGAGTTTGAATAGTAATGCTCTCAATAAAATTTGAAAAATTAAAAAGCCACATCAATTGATAAAAAAGGGGCAATTTACTCAAATATCTTTTTTGAAAAGTGTGTAGTTTATTTAATCTCAAAACCTTTTATATAGATCCAAAAATTCTATGCTCATTTATCTTCTCATCTTTTTCTACGCTTTATTTCTTCTCTTTATATCTTTTTCTCTGATATCGACGACGACCATGACCACGCTTTCCTTATTTTCTTTCTCTTTCCAATCTTTAGTCACCGACAACTGACGACCACCATTGATTGAGATTCATTGGAAACCACTGAACACCAACTCCTTACTTCCCACTCACTGACAGTGAAAAAGATGAGTTCCCGACGAAGAATATGAGTAGATCTACTCAAATCTACACATTAGATCCGGCTATATCTACTTTAGATCCTAAACCAAAAAATAATTGTCAGAGTACAAACATCTCTCTATATCTGTTTCTTTCATTTGATCTCTCAATTTTTTTTACTTTTTCTATATTACACACTTTTATTTTCTTGTTATAATGGAGAAATTTTTTAAGTTCTAAACAAGTTGTTTTCAAGTTTTAGTTACATGTGGTAAAAACTGTAAAATTTTCTACTTTCATTTTTTTTTGTGCTGAAATGAATCATTATTTAGAACTGTAAAATTTTACGGTTTCAAAACTTTATTTAAAACTGTAAAATTTTACAGTTTTATAACATGTTTTTCAGATTGATTAATAAGGATAAATACTTAATAGAATCATACTATAAAACTGTATCATTTTATAGTTTCAAAACTTGTTTTTCAGTTTGATCAATATTAGAGATTATTTACTTAAACCCTACAAATTGAAAATAATATATATATTTTTTCCATTGTTATTGTTTGCTATTCTTAAGTTTTTTTTTTCTTCTTTTAGTTTAACAATATTTTGCACACTATGCTATATTTTTTCGCTTTAATTTTTTTAAATTTTTTTTGACAATATTCTGGACATTCCAATAAGTCTCCGATAATATTCTTGACGTTTAGCGAGCATTCTAGCCATTCTGGCGACTTCCGGTGACGTTCAAAACATACCGGCAAATTTCGATGATGTTGAACATTTCAGCGAATCTTTGATGACCGTCTGACAGAAGTCTGCCAGTGATGGGTGTAGGTCTTTAAATTGTTTTTTTTTCAAAAAAAAAAAATTTTTTTTTTTATAACAATTAAAAATATATAGGACTAATTGGTACAAGTATTTTATTTTGGACTACATGAGTTTTCAACTTTATATATGGGACTTATCATTGAGTTCCCATTAAAAAAAAAAATAGTATTTGGGCCAATAGCCAATCCATATGGTTAATTTTGTAGGGTACAAATAAATTTCTTACAGTTTGCTTAAAATAGGAAGGGCAAACTTTATTCTTGTAATTTGAACCATGTGTAGTTTATCTTTTAATATTTAAAAATGATCACATAATTCTGTTGTGATTTGTGCACTGAAGTGCATCATTAGGACCATTAATGATTTAATGAAAAAGATTAAAATAACCTTATGTTTTTGTTATTTGTTTCAAAAGTAAAGTGCGCTTTAATCTCATTTGGGATTTCTCTCTTAAAATTTGCAAATGAACTTATAACCCCTTATGTTTGTCATGTATTTTACATTTGTTATTAAATTGGACAGAATGTTTAACAGTGTACTTTAGTCTACAAATCATGTGAGAGTTGTGTAATTGTCTCCAAACATTAGGGGGATTTACTCGTATACGGTCTAAATCACAGGAGTAGTAAAGTGAAGTTTGTCCGAATAAGAATTGCTCTTATAGTTTTGAAAATTACATCACGCCTTTTGAAATTTTTAATTTCATAATACATAATTCCTTTTATTAATAAATATTATTAAGTTAATTAACAGTTTTTAATGATATTAGATATTTATTTTAATTAATAATTCAGATAATTTTATTATTAAATATAATAGCAGTCAAGAATTTTATTTTTTTAATTAATTTTGCTAAATAAAAAAATTGGACAAGATGATATTTATAATTTTTTAACTTATAAAAAATAATTCATATTTTAAACAAAACTGAGTATATTTGCAATTTTTTATCCTAATTTTTATTATTGCGTGTAAAAATCAATCAAAACAAACCACATTAGTCGATTTCAACGAAACTGTCGGCATCAATATCATTTATCTCTAAAGTTTATTTAAAATATAGATTGTGTTTTGTAATTTAAAAAATTACAAATATCACTTTATTAGTATTTTTTATTTAACAGAATTAATTAAAAAAATAAAATTCATAATTGTTCTCCTATATAATAATAAAATTATCTAAATTATTAATTAAAACATATTTTTAACATCATTAAAAATTGTTAATTGACTTGATGATTTATTAATAAAATGGACGATTTATTATAAAATTAGAAACTTCATGCGATGCAATGTAATTTTTAAAACTATAAAGAACGATTAATATTTTAATCAAATCTCAATGAGTGTATTTATAATTTATCCTTAAATTATATATATAAGTAGAGTGAATAAAAATTATTATTCACAACAAAATTAAGTACTTTGAATGAAAAGTAAATAGTAATACGTTCAAAATATGTATGTATATACATGTAGTACAAATGGTGATAAACTATAGTGGGGGTG